GAGATGCAGAACTCTCCACAGGCAAATTTTCCCTACCTGGAGGAGCAGATTGGGCCGTTAATGGAAATTCAACGTTCCAGTCGACAATGGAGCGACTTTTTCCGTCGCAATGCAGTACAACGCATTATTTCAGCGACGGTATTGGCACCAGCAGTAACGATTTTTCTGTGGTTGTCACCAGCGTTTGCAACCACGACGGTCTGCAGCTTCATGATCAGTACGTGTGCGTACGAATACGCGTGTCTGGCCAACCGTATCCGACTGCGAATTCTCACTCAGATGAAGGTGATGGAGGGACTAATGAACGACAGTGAGCGTCGTTTGGGCAATTTTACGTCACTGAATAACACGCGTAGCAACCACAGCGTCACGAGCAGCAGGGACTCCGAAGTTGATCCTGAACCGCCTTCACCTGTTGAGAGTGTTAGCTCAATTAACTCGATACGGACGAGAACGAGAACTTCACAGCCGGATGCGAGGGCAATCCAGGAAGAACGGGAGAACCGTGAGATTGCGATTGTGGACGATGAATTGAGAGATCAGGAGGACAGGATACACCGCTGTGCCGTAACTGGTGTCGCAGTGCAGTATTTTGAAGGACATGTGTGGTGGGCAGCAGCTTTTGTGTCGATTCCTGTGTGTATGGTGACATCTGCTGTGTTTTTGCTATCGATCCAGTGGGTGGATACGTTCGAATCGACCGAGTTTTATACGTATCGGTGGTTTTTTGCCATCCCGACGGGGTATGTGGTCGCGCTGTGTGCGTGTTTGACGCCGGATTGGCAGTACTCGGTGATCACGTTGATAAAATACGGCGTCTTCACCATTCTAACGTTACATTCGACAGCATGTCCGATGAACGAACTGGACTGTAATTTACTGATGGGTACATCAGAGATTTTCCTCGGTGGGATGGTAGTTATCCTGGTATTTCGTTTTGCTTCGACATCTGGTAAGGCTGAGGCTTTCGTAAGCTTTATGCTGGATATCGTTGGGTTATTATACGTGACTGGAACACTGTCGATCCTAGTGGCTTTCGTCGATGATAACCACCGCACTTTATACCGTAAATTACTAATTGCGTTGCTTTACATCGTCTGGGCGTCCGATACGGGAGCATATCTAATTGGTAAAGTTCTCGACTACTTCCACTACCCGTACTACAATCCCCTAGCAGCGCACTTGTCGAAGAACAAGGACTATGAAGGCACTCTGGGCGCGATCATCTTCGGTATCATAACTATGGTAGTGGCTTCCGAACTATTGGACTTGCCCGGCTCTTTCGAGATGAAAGTTGGTTTTACAGTTTTAGCAGTCGTCGTCGGACGAATGGGTGATTTATTTGAGAGCTTGTTAAAGCGAGCTGCGGGGGTCAAAGACTCTGGAACGCTCATCCCTGGTCATGGAGGCGTATTGGATCGGATCGACGCGCTCATGTTTGCCACAATCGTTTTCTCACGCTACTACGCTTTGCAGTCTTGAGAAGCCCGTTTCAGCATTTTTAGGTGTTTAATCCCTTCAATCGACGTTGAAATTATTTTTGTTTAGACATGTTTAAACAAAACAGCGCCCGGCTCATGCCGAAAAAGCCGGTCCATCCCACTTGACTTCCGCGGTGCTTGCACCTTATCCAGCGATGGTACCCGAGCAGCGCCCCACAAGCCAGCACGAGACCGCAGGCATCCCGATCATGCCGCAGCCGTCGACAGACGTGCAAAACTCTCCGCTCACGAGCTCTTACCACAGCCTCCAGCAGTCGCCCCCGCCTCAGACACGAAGTCGCTGTTCCGCCTTCTTCCGCTACAATGTGGTGCAGCGCACGCTCTCCGCTGCGGTGCTAGCGCCCGCTGTGACGGTGTTTCTATGGCTATCGCCAGCCATTGCCACGTCCACCGTCTGCAGCTTCATGACCAGCACTTGCTCGTACGAATACGCGTGTCTGGCGAACCGTATTCGTCTACGACTATTGACGAGATTCGAAGCGCTAGAGAGCTCTCTTGGCAGCGCCACTAGGCCAGGAGCGGGGAATAGCGATTTATCTCACCCAGACACTCGCAGTGACAGTGAGAGCAGCAGCAGCAGCTTCGCCTTCGACGTGACAGCCAGTCGGACGTTTGTGTTTGACAGTCCAGCAAACACCCAATTGCACCAAAGACTATCGACTGACGGGCGCTTGACGACGACTCGGGCTTTCCAGGAAGAACAGGAGGCCCGGGAGATGGCACAAGTGAATAGTGAACTGAAGGAACAGGCTCCCAGATTACGACGCTGCGCAGTCACTGATGTTGCCAAGTACTTGTTCGGAGGGAAGGAGTGGCTTGCAGCGCTGTGTATTTCGGCGTTAATGTGCACGATCTCCTCATGTATTTTCTTGCTGGCCATACAAGACATCCCGGTGCTCGTAACAACGGAATTTTACGCGTCTCGATGGTTTTATACAGTCGCAACGGGTTTTGTAGCTGCCATGTGTGCGTGTCTGTCGCCCGACTGGCAATACGCAGTGGTAATTTTCCTACAGAACGCGATCTTTACGACTCTAACGCTGCATTCAACGGCGTGTCCGATGAATGAGCTTTCGTGTAATATGGCGATTAAACCAGCGCAGATTTTACTGACAGGAATGATTGTCTTCCTGACATTCCGGTTCGCCACATCTCGTAGCAATGCGGAAGCTTTTCTGACCTTCACATTGGACGCAGTGGGTCTAATTTACATCATTGGCACGCTGTCTGTACTTGTGGCATTTGTGGATGACGAGCGGCGAACACTTTACCGGAAGCTGCTCATTGCGTTATTATACGTTGTTTGGGCGTCCGATACGGGAGCGTATATTACCGGTAAATTACTTGCAATGGCAAAATATCCGTATTATAATCCGCTTGCAGCGCATTTGTCCAAGAACAAAGACTATGAAGGAACACTGGGAGCAATCGGGTTTGGCATTGTGGCTATGGTTGTATCATCCGATATATTGGATCTGCCAGGCTCCTTTGGGACGAAAGTTGTGTTTACTATTGTCGCGGTGGTAATTGGACGACTTGGAGACCTGTTTGAGAGCTTGTTGAAACGAGCAGCAGGAGTTAAAGACTCGGGGACGCTCATTCCAGGCCATGGTGGCGTGCTAGACCGTATCGATGCGCTCATGTTCGCTACGTTGGTGTTCTCACGATACTACGCCATGGTGTATTGATTGAATGGCGTTTCAAAGATTATCAATTTTATCGGAGGACGGCAGAACGGAAGAATTTGAACAACTCCAGGCGGTACTTATGGAGTTCCAAGCCGACGTGGCCTTCAAGTAAGGACAATTATTTCAAACCCTTAGATATGCGTAGTGTGCGTAAATCGTTCCTCGTATTGCAATATAGATATCAGCTCTCTCTCGTCTCCGCTTCTGTACTAGCAAATTAAAGAGTCCAAGTGTCTCTGGTCCAGACGTCGTCTCTGTTTTGCTCAATACTTTGGGTCCACTGCACGTGCCCAGTTCTGTTACATCAAACCATCGCAATTATCAGAAGTTGTTGTCAATAAGAGACTCCACTTGCACTTACCTTATAGTCTGGGTCGAATTTGAAGTCAGCTTCGTTTAGGAACAGTAGATCCGTCATGAGCAGCATCGTCAGGAAGATCACCAGCGTCGCCTACAGATGCAGTGAATACTGTTAAGTTTTAGGTTTGTGACTGGTGTTTTATATACAACGCACCCAGGGCATCCAGGCCGCGTCGGATGCCGCGAACGCCACGAAGATGAAGAAGACGATGATCAGCAGCTGCAGCTTCTGTCGCAGGGACGAGAACCACATTTCGCCGTCGATAAAATGAACAAGACGCTGCAAGATCCGACACCTCGAGGTCGTTTCTGACTTGTGAGGTCGTAGAAGAATTTTATCGCTTCCATTGGTCAAAACGGAGCTCAACATAACTATTTCAACTTATTTATTGGTTAAAATTTGTTTATGCTATCATTGGTAAAAACTCGACTTTTTCACTTTATCAACCAATACAAAGCATTCAAGAGTCATACATTCAAATTCATTGCAACAATGTCGCCGGTACCCGCGTCGCCGGCGCCATCGGCCAAGCCGCGCCAGTCTGTGCGCATGAAGCGCATGAAGTTGATTCTCCAGAAGGCACTGGATGTGTCAGTCCACACTGCGTCGCTTGTGGACCTGCGTGCGTGTCTGGAGAGCGAATGTCGCGGCGACGAGGAGCTATTGGCTGCTTTCTTCCCGCCTCCGACCCCCGAGAGCCCGGAACTCCATAATACCGAGGAAGTGGCTGCTCAGGCAGTGCTGAGCTTACGACAGAAGGTAGAAACGCTATTTGAGTGGCTGTGCGAGACCCACGACGTGGACACGGAGCTGCTGGAGCTCGAGGACGGCATCAAACAAGCCGAACAACGACGACTACGTCAAGAAGAGAGAAAGCAGAAAGATCAGGACGAGAAGAAACAAGAGGATAAGGAAGAGCAACCGGAGCAGGAACAGGTGTCACCTGAAGCTCGAATTCGAGCCGAACGGCTCCTAGCCAAGCAGGAAGAGCAGAAGGAGCTCGAGGCTCTAGTAGAGACATTGGAAGCCAAGAACAAGGAGCTACAGAAAGTAGTAGAGGAGAAACGACGCATAGCTACTGCCGACGTACAGCGGATGCAGCGTGCAGCCATCCAACTGGAAGAGGCAAGCCACCTCGCCAAGGACTATGCCTCTGCTCCCTAATTTTGTTTAACGAATCTGGAATATCTAGTATTTTATGTTTATTTTGGTCGAGTAACTGTAATTTTTCTGCTAGAACTAGTGGGACTGGAAAAAGTTCTGCGCTGCATCTTGTAGGACCTGACGGGACATGGCCATACTCTGCTGAGAGGCTGCGAGCTCTCGACGTAGCTCATCCAACGCCGTGCCGTTCTGGAAATTGCTCACTAATGCTTGCAGGGTCTGGGGATCCATGTGGCCCCTAGATTTCGACTGAGATCCCGTATCTGGAGTGCCATCAAACGTGCTGCGTTTCTTTCGTACTGCTTTAGGCTTCACTGCCGCACTGTAGGCCGATGACGTTGACTTGGTTTTCTTTTTCCGAGTATCCTTAGCCCCACTAGCTCTTCCGTTGGGGCCGCTACTCGACACAGAAGACGAAGAATTTGTCCTGCCAAGAGCGGCACGTTGCATCAGCATTTTAGTCTTGTTGTGTCTCCACGATTGCTGATCCTCATCCTCGTCAAAGTTCACCTGCTGTAGTTGATTTGCATACGCAAAAGCTTCTTGAAGCAGTTTGGGGTCGATTGCTTTGGGTCCAGACGAAGCAGGTGGTCGAGGCTTTGTAGCTTGGTTATCTGGCGACGCTCTCCTTCCATTTAACCTAGGCAATGTACTCTGAGGTTTAGTGGCCGTCGATGGCTTCACCGATAATGTTGACAAACTCGGCGATGGTTTGTTCAGAAAGTGTTCAACCTCGTCCCAAAGTCCCCCACTCGACTCTTGTGGCTCCTCCTCAAGCTCTTCGGTATCTTCATCCTCTTGTTGGTACAAACTGCGTTGGCTACGCACACTTTGAGCACTCTTTTCGGAATTGATGGATCCAGCAGAGTGGAGATTACTGCGACTCGAAGACGAAGAGTTAGAGGACCTTGCGCTGGGAACTAGAGGCAACCCAACCGTGCTCATGGCCGAGAAGCTTGCTATTAACTGGAACGACCCTCTAACAGAGATCAACGAAGACTTACCCTTCCGTTTTTCGACTGAAATAGTCTCCTATTACCAAAATTATCGACTTATTGGGTTAAACGAGCACGTGGAAGAGCACCGAGTTACCCATCGCATAGAGTACAAGTTGTGCTGCACCTCTGGCGATCAATCCAAAACCGACAACTGCCACAACATGCAGCGACTTGGCTCTTGCGGGGTTTCCCTCTCCTAGTAATAGTTGCAATGCGAGCACATTGGACACGACTACCAGAGCTCCCATGACGTGGATGAAGCTCCAATGGAACTCCCAGATCACTGTCAATAGTGCAAAGAGCTTACCGAAGCTCGAGATGCACATGGCGCTGGCGTATCTCGTCCAGGCCGCGTTAATTCCCTCGTTTAGCAGCTTTTCTCTCCATTTCCGACGGAATGGATCCAGCCAAATTGCAGCAAAGACACTGACGAAGTAGACGACGTTCTCTACTAGTGCGAGGCACACTAAATGCAGCGAGAACTGTCCGATTCGAGCGCCAGACGTCGAGATTTCGGGGGATCTATACATTGACTCAGAGCGGAAGGTGACGCCGGCATCCCGGTCCACTAAATACGCCTTGACGTTCATATCTAGCATCACGAGGATCACGAATAGCTTGAGCGTCGTCCGGGTGGAGACTGGAGCTGGTAGGTTATAGAGTGCATGGCGATACACTTGAGGCTTGAGTAGTAGAACCTCCAGGAAGAGCAGGATTGTCTCGTACTCGACGTATTTGTCTGCAACCGAGTTGCACGCACTGCAGATGGCCAGACGCAGGTTCCCTTTGCCGTAGTCGCGCACTAGCTCCTCCACAGGGGCACCGCATTCCACACACACGAGGCCGTGACGCATATCTATCGAAATGTTGCACGAATGACAAATCGGTTTAGAGAGGATTTGTGAATCGACACAAGATCAGACAAAACCGTTTTAGCATTTGAGCATCTTTGACAACACGAGTGTCCCTACTGCATCTGTGGACATGGCGAAGGACGTGCATCGTGTGGCTAGTGTCAACGACACGCGTGTGCTGAAGACCGTGGATGACTCCAAGTTCGCGTCGCTCTCTAAGGAAGACGCGGCTCGGGCGGCTGCACCGGTACGTTTCGGACGTTTTAATTGCATTCTTACAATACTGACTGGGTGGCATTTAGGAATTGGATTCCCGCCGGAAAACATTTCCAGTGCGTACAGGGCTGGCGGCCGCTAGTCTTTTTACGCTGGGCTCCATTCTCATTTACGTGAGCACACTCATTGGACTGGACGAGGAGAAACGCGGATTATCCTTCCTCATCCTCGGACTCATCGGTAATATGCTCACTAATATTGATATTGCAGCGCTTTGCTGAGGCTATGGTGTTTTCTGTTGCTGCAGCCTTCATTCCGGGCAGCTATGCGACCTACCAGCTCTACGGTGCGTGGAAGGGCTGGAAGGGCTACAACTACGACCAGATCCCGTCCTATGACGATTAAGCACCGGAACTTCCGGCATAACTTTAGTTATGGAATAACCTTCTTCATCTATTAATAGCGTCAATCTGTAGCTCTTCAACCACCGTAAATGAATCTCAACCACCTTTTATTTAGGGTATCTGCTATGCGACTAGCGCACCCGTCAGATCGGTCGCGGCTTTGTCCTGTCTGTTTCTAACTGCGTCATCGTCGCCGAATCGAGCGGCTTCATCACTTCTGAACTGCCTGCGACGCCCACAGTCTGCGTCGCATCATCACACTTGCCAGTCCCCCCACTAGGCTCACAAACTCTCCAACCACAGTACAGCGCGCTGCCGTCATGTGGTTCATCGGCTGGCCGCTGGGTCTTCTTCTCTCCGCCATCTCCAGTATCTTCGGGATCACGGGGAAACTGCTACTCAAGCTGGCACACAATGAACGCGACAAGGAAGAGATGGCAGCAGCGCAACGTGAGCTGCGTAAGAGCCACGGGAGCCCCTCTTTGGCTGTCAAGTCCAATCTGGGCTGCACGTACTTCTATTGTGGCCTTTTCTCCATGCTAGTCATGAATCCTGCACTGGGGGCGCTGGCCTATTGCTTCGCTACACAGTCGCTACTTGCGCCCATGGCGGGACTCACTATCGGCTGGAATACGCTGTTTGGACCAATTCTATTGCCCCATGAACGCCTCACAACTAACGACTTTGTGGGAGCTGTGCTGATTTTCACGGGTTGTGTACTGGTTGGTGTCTCGGGTACACACGATAGCCCCCCGCTGCCCGTAGAGCTAGTCGGATCGAGATTCAAATCTTTCTCCTTCATTCTGTACGCTGTGGTGTTGCTGGCATTGCTGAGTTTCTTGATCCATCATGCTAAACATGCGCTACACTTTACCACGACATCTCGTCGGGCTGGAGTGGAGAGCTCGCCTGTTTCTAGTCCGGAGCAACTTCCGGTGATCGCACGTGTCTCGTTAAGTGTCTTTGCTGGCGTCATGAGTGGCCAGCTTTTCTTCCTCGCTGCTGTGATGCGTATCGTTCACGATGACGGAGCGAGTCGCATCTGGTCGTTTCCAGTGACCTACGTGTGTATCATTGGCGCCGTGGGAACAGCGCTGTTTGGGTTGTATTTACTTAACGAGGCGCTGGCTGTTGAAGACGCAGTTGTGGTGATTTATCTGTACGAAGCGAGTTATATCATGTCTGGTGCTATCTCGGGACTCTGCTTCTTTAGGGACATGAAGCACCTGCCTACCTGGCATTATGTGCTCTATTCGCTCAGTCTTGTGCTTATCCTGTTGGGGATCTACATTGTGGCTAAACGGTCTTTACCTAAAGCGGAGGATGAGGAGTATATGCTGCCGCTGTTGGCCCCACCCTCGGCTGAGGACGCTTCCGTGGAAAAGATCTTCCAGCAAGCGTCATACTACGCTCGCAGGGCATCATATTCCGGACCGTCGATGCTGCAATCTCTTCGAATGGGCCGCAATGACACCGAGACACCAGAACGCCGCAAGTCCATGCCGTTTAAGTAAGCAAACCGTTTTTGTCCGTGGCTTAGACGAATGCACGACCGTAAGGGATCTCTATAGAGACTCATTTGCAGCACCCCGTAAGCTAAATAACTAACAACTCAATTTCTCAAAATTGACTATTGACTTCAACGGGGTACTTATTTTTTCTTCGGAATGCTCAAAGAGCGCAAAAACCTGTATCCTCACAAGCGAAACACAAGACAACGTATGTAACTTCGACTGAAAAGCTTCATTCGCTTTTCGACATGTTAAATAACGTTCATCTACGCCAACAAAGACAATGACATCCTTAACTGCGAAGGTCGGTGCTAAATGTTACAGTTGCCCACAGTGCTGAGCTGCCACTGCCGCTCATATCGTCCACCTCACTGGTCTGTCGAGCCATGACATACAGATAGTACTTGACAAACACAATCGACGTGAAGAGCAACGCATGCGAACCATCCAGTGCTCCACCAAAGCCCGGCATGAGACGTCCGCTCCAACGCACACCCGCTGCTTTCTTCAGTAGAGAGATAATGAGCCGTCCAAACCGCGCCATGAGTACACTACCGACTGAGAAGAGCACTTTAGGTACCACCCCGCCTGGAACATCCAACACTGCACCTCCGAAGACAAGCACCAGACTGCCAGCCGCGATAGCACACAGCGAAGCCTCCACATCTAACGTCACGACAATACGTGGAGGTAGAATTCGCATGTGGGGGAGCTGGAAGCGATACATTATCGCGTCGCAGACGTAGCCAGCGAACTGCGCCACCCACATAGCACTAAGCATACCGAGCCATATCGTAGCCCAAGTTGACTTCCGATCGCTTGGATCCACCATCGAGATTAAGAGACCCAACGCTCCAGCAACATAAGCGTACCCCAGCAAGTCCAACGTTGCTGCAACGACCAAACTAGCAGGTCCACGCGCCGAGAGTGAGTGTACCAGCATCACCGCCATCGCTCCCAAAGCAAAAGTTTGCATCGACGTAATTGGAGCTGCACTGCATCCCACTGATGCTGCCAATGGACAGTTTAGTGCGTTCAATAACAGCACTTCAAAGGCGGACTTCTGCACCACCAACGAGATCGCACTTGGCCAAGTTGGGCAACTTACAGCACACAGCGAAGCCACGAAATTAACGACCCAAAAATAGTAAGGAGCCGAATCAATATCCCTCGGCGTACTAGCCACGGGAAACGGGATCAACGGGAATGCCATAGTACAAGCCACGGACCAGCAAATAGTGAGCAAGACAGCCACCACCACGCGCGTTAGCCGCAGATTCCCACAGAATAGCAAGTTCGCCATACCCAACAGAATACCACGCGAAGTCTCAATCTCCAGTTCAAACACCGCCTTGGGGCGTCTCGTCTCGGGTTCAACCGCATCCTTATCGTTAGCTAAGAACGTCATGTTACCATCGTCCGAACCGAGCATTGTACCGGTTTGGTACGATGTAGTGGACTGCGTAAAGCCTGACGATACAAAGGAGTTCTTAAAGCGTCTGTCACCTCCGTCTTGGTATCCACAGACCACGGATGCGTTGCTACGCGTACTATCCCCAACTGCATCTCCAAGATCCATTGGCCCCTCGTTACCTTCATACCACTGATAAGTACCGAGCAATTGCTTGTAAATTCGGAACGACAGCCATGCGTGTTCATAACAGCAAAAACACAACAGTATTGTTGTCAACACCGCTGCTGCCAAAACCGGCCAGAAGATCAAACCACACACGACAATCGGCACGAATGCGACGGTTGTGCCCAAGCGTAAGAACCAATTCGGATACGAATGGCCACAGTATGACCAACTACCGAAAATACTTTGCTTTCGTGACCGTGAGCGACCTCGGGTATCAATTCGAGCTGCTTGTTGCTGTTGAAATTGCCTCCTGCAGTCGTTCGGCTGATCTTCGTCTTCGTCCTCCTCTTGGATGTCAAGCGTCTGCGTTCGACTGGTTCGAGTCGGTGAGATCGTGTTGAACGGATCTATGGATCGCGCCGAGCCTGCAGGTAGAGCACCTCTGGCTCGGACACTGCGTTTGGCAGAGTCTACTGACTTCTTGTACCTTGAATTGGTGAAATTAATGTGTCCTCGCTCGTCTAGCGTCGGAACTCTCTCCGCTTGCTCCTGCTCCTGTTCCTGAAAATCTCCATCCATGATGGGGTTCGTACCGCGAAAATCTGCGGTCGCAACCGACTGGACTCGTTTTCTTTCACCTGCTTTGCGCCTAGAATGAGATCTAGAGCTGGTTGTTGCAGCACGGGATCTCGTACTGGACGTAGCTGTTCGGTTCGATCTCGCTGTGGTTGTCCGCACATTGTCCTCCTCAATGTCGAACAGTACAGTCCGGTTGGCTGACCGAGTGGTCATCTCTCACGTCAACAGCACACAGGCAAATAGATAAAGTAGAAAGTGAAAGTGTCCGATAAACGCCAGAATTGAGCGAGAAGCTCAGCTCCAGAGCTCGGTTGTAAATCGATTTTTCGAGTGTGCGAGTCTGTCCAAAAGACTCTTGGCAAGAGTTGAGCCCCGCAGTGGTTCAAAAGACGGCGAACGAGACGGGAAAGGGCCGGAAGAGCGGGGAAGAGCGGCGAGGAAGGGAGAACAATAGGCCGGGGCATGCGCGTAGGAAACACATGGACCCAAGTGCCGCGTTGCAGAGTCTGGCTTCGTGGTGTAGGGGAGGTTCGTTCAGCCAATCACAATACAAAAACAGGTTGTTCAGAAGATTATCCGGGTGGTAAAAAATTATCCGGACGACTTCAACTTGGAATGGTATGAATCTTTTTGCATGAATCAACGTAGCATTTCAGCTCGCTACTCTCATGATTCATGCCTTCTACGAGCAGGTTGATCGTGTAGTTGGTCTCACAACTGTCGCCGATAATGTCGTTTGCTCACGAACACGCTAGAGCACCAAGTTGGGACGTGGACGATGTCTGTGATTGTGCATTGCTGCCCGAAAACGTCATCCTGGGATGGAAGAGACTATCTCCATCGTGGCCTCGTTAGTTGTGCTGCTCCAGTCATGCACTAGTAGTGGCGCTCGTATATAATTTGCCTAATGTGAACTGCCCTCTTGCTCTGGTGCCACTACAGTACCTTGCGATGTCGCTAGGCAACGGAGGGTAACTTATAACGAACGCGCAAGTGCAGAGTTGTTGAGTGCTCTCATATACCACAGGCTCACCGAGTCTACACTACAGTAATGGCTGTCAGTGTGCTACGCTGTCCAAGGGACGATCCTGCCAGTTGTACCAGAGTGCAATTTCAGCATTGGATTGCGTTAACGATCGGGCTGTCGGAGCAAGTTTTCCTGAGTTCTCTCAGCGATTTCGAGAATGTCGACAATTGATCCACGTGCCGACGCATCGGTACTTGCAATGCTGCAAGAGAGAATGAAGCCCAATACTATAATAGACCACCACGGTGCGGAGTTTGGGTTTCTAGTGGCAGTCAAGCTGTTAGCAACTAGTGTCCGAAAGGGTGGAAGCGGGCAGTCCGCATATCAGTGCCAATAGTACTTGCTGTTCCTCTTAGGATCGGGCTGACATGACCTCGCCAGCCGCGCTACAGCAGAGGAAGATTGCATTATGCTACTATAGGCAACAATCCGCTTCCGAAGACCGCTTTCGGATACACCTGCATGCAAGTCTCATAATCGACTAGAGGAATGGATTCTGCCGGTACAGATGGCTTCATGAGGGTCACTTCCCCACATCTTTGCGGTCACCTGCTGTTAGCTTTACCTGTCCAGCGAACCGGGTGACCGATAAGAATGAACGAGATGCTCGCGCTCAGATCATGGAGAAGTGAGACGTAAGAACCCACTCACACTAGACACGTCAAATGTTGTCAACCTGCCAATGGCAGGTACGCGAGCAATAGCATCGACCACCCAACAGTCAGACCACTCTCGCTTCAGACGAACGCCTACACGCACAAGCTGTTTTTGCGAAGGTGTCGCGGCTAAAACGCGTTATCAAGCACCACACAATGCGCGTACAGTTGCATGAACCAAGTGGCTCCGCTTCCTCGTTCTGTCTCCGAAACCTGTTGGGGGTTCCGGATATTTAGCTTTTCTAGCATTCTTGAAGCTGGCTATCGAACAGTGTGCTTACAGACGTCGAATTCACACCGAGAAATGAGTGTACTTGGCCGCAATACGTTCCAAGCCGAACAACTTCATGGAATCGTTAAGCACGTTGGTACTTATGGTGGTTCATTCGATTATTAGCGATGGAGAGGTCAGATCGTTTCGTTCTTTGCGGCTCCTACACTCGCGTTTTTACTTTCCAACACTATGCGAGAATCGCCACCGCTGCATGGTACCATCATCGGTGGTGGCCTAGTTGTTCTCCTAACACCAGTGCACCAAGCTTCATCGGAACTTGATACCAGCTTTGCTTTATGGGAGAATACTCTTTCATCCCTCCATCCACAGCCAGCGCCAAGTTCGGGTGTATTGAGCTCCGCAAGCGAGGGTTGGAGAACTCCAACGCTTCACTTTAGATCCGTCACGGTCTCTCCATCAACGCAGCATTTTTTGTCGGGAATATTTCTGGTTCCCACTATCATGAGCTCCATTTGGTACGCTCCTCAAGAAGCTGCACTTCTTCTCGTGTCCATCGCCACTACAGTCGGCTCTTATGAGTTTTCTTGGCTCGCATTTCGGATTCTTCACCGTGTCGAGACGCTATTCAAGTACTACGAAGAGCCAAACAGTGAGAGTCAAGAGTCGATCCATTCTTCGCGAGCGAGCAATGGTAGTGCACGCGAAGAAGACATTAGCTTCCTTATTGACTCACAGCAGTGCGTGGTTACGTCGCTCGCCCAAGTGCTCTTTTACCGGGGTAACCAGTGGCTTGCAGCTCTGATACTTGCTCTACCAACGTCAATGGTGTTCGTCGGCATCGACGGTAAAGCTCTCAATCAGATTCGACCGACGAATCAAAGCTTGGAGACTTTTGTATGGGCCTATCTCATTCCTACGAAATACGTGGCAGCGCTGTGTGGCTGGTTCGCTCCGAGCTGGATCTGGATGGTGCTTATCTTGTGGCAGTCGGAGGTCTTCAGCGTCATGGCGATGCTGGTTCAGCAATGCCCAATTGCAGTCTTCACTTGCACTGACAATACCAACAGTAACTACCTGTTAACTGTGTTTGCTGTGGGGTATATTGTGATACTGCTGGTCTGTACGCTAACCAGTGTTGAGCGCGTGTTGGTTGTCCAAGCTGCACTCGCTATTACCGGTTTTTCGTTCATTCATGGTCTCGGTTTGTCGATGGTCGCTTTACTTGATGTGAGCGATCTTGAACGCTCTCGGAGTATTGTCACACTATTGCTGACCATTTTCTGGGCTGCTCAGACATGCGCGTATGTCTGGAAAAGACTTGCAGCTCCGTGGTGGGGACATTCGACACCGCTGTGCACTCGAATATCGACTCAATTGGACATGGAGAGCTTGCTAGTAGCTATTGGAGTTGGTGCGAGCATTACAGTTGTTGCACTACACTTCAATTCACCGTTTGGTGGGGAGAATGTGGGGGTGTATACTTTGCTGGCGGCTTTGGGGATCATCTGCATGCAACTCGGGGAAATTATTTTGGAGTTATGGGGACAAGCTGCTGGAGTTAAGCATACTGGAAGGAGTTTACCGGGAAACCGTGGGCTGTTGGAGCGCACCACCGTGTTGGTCGCTGGGGTGATCGTATTCCTACCGTATCTAGCAGCGCAATCGATAAATTAGAAAGATTTAAAGTATCGAATAGAATAGTTTTCAGAAGCTTTGTAGATAAAAGCGGGCCTTAAACGTTGCTCGAAGAGGTTAAATACTGCATTATCTTCTCCTGCTCAACACGTCTGGTGCTTTCACACTCCACGTTACGCTTCAAAGAGCGCGTATTTGGCATCTGCGAGCCCCTTAGAAATAGCGGGGATAGCGTTAGAAACGGCTTCGTGGATCTTCTCGCGGTATCGTAGTGCTCCTGCTGCTGCGACAGCTAGAGCAATGGCAGTGCCACCGATCATCACGTAGCAACTGGAGTCGTCATCCTGTTTTGCGTCTTGCTGTTGAACACCCGTAAACCCCGTCGATACAGCTTGAAAAGAAGAGCTATTCACCTCTCGCTCATTCGTCACAGCACTTGACTGGGCCAATGCTGTCTGGTTGACTGCAGACGTCTGAACATTCTTCGTCGCTTCTTGAGCAGCCAAATGCGCTGCTTGAATCTTTCGCAGCAGTTGAAGCTTGGTAGAGTCATCAAGCACATGGTCCCCAGTCACAAAACCCCGCGCAGTCTCAATTCCTTCATCAGGCAGCAACAACTGTAAAGCCAGCACTTCAGCAGCCTTGGCATATTGCTGAGCGTTGAACCCCATTGTTCCATCCTCTGTGTACGATGCCAGTAGCTCTCGCAGCTCCTGCGTCGCCATCGGTCTGCGGTTCATGGCTAATAAAAATATGCTCCATTGAATCGCGACGGTGCTCGGCAGTGGCGCAAAGGCCTTGACGATGGTCGTTGCTGTCTCTACTTCGTCGTCCAAGTCCAGCTCGAACACCGCCTGAAGATACACCGACAGCACGCGCTCCCTACGACAAAGAATACAAAATTAAGCAAAGATTTTATATAAGGAATAAATACGTAACCACAACTTACTCTTCCGCTGTCATGGTCGATAAGTTGCTTGGGTTTTCATCTTGTCGGAGCTGTGATGAAGCAAAATGTTTAGGAGAAAATGAAACGTTTGATGGGATTTTTTACGATAGTAGATTGTTCTTGCCTGGACGATACGCGCTGCGAGGATGTTGCGACTGTCGTTGAGCGCTTGTGTCCACTCTCCACGTAGGAGAGCGTCTTCCACCGCGGCAGCGCTCGTGGTTTGCAAGGATGGCATAGCAGAGGGAGTGCGAACTATGATGCAGACTTGCGACTGCTTCGTTGACGTTTACCAAAAGGTTGAACTCCTTTTCAGAATTCTTTACCGGTATAACACCGGTTAATGAGCACGGCCTGAGACCGGTAGTTTGGCTGAAAACCTTCCAGAATACTGGTTTACCGGGGCTATAAATGGTAAGAAAAAAAAAGGACCAAAAAACCAACCTAGCAATAAAAAAAACCAGCCGGCACAAAAATAAATTAATAAATAACAAAAATAATTCCCGTAGGATTCTACGATTTCATGTAGGAGATAACATGACAAGCGTTCAGGAGAAGGACGGCGCTACTATACGGCGTAGCCTGTGGTGACCAGAACAACGGCGACCAAGTCCGAAGTCGTAAGATTGGTGCGGGAGTTCCCTATGGACGCATCGGACGAAGCCTTCGCAACAGAGCTCAAGAAGAGATACCAGTGCAAGAAAATAAAAAAATACCAGCGGTCTGCACTGAGCTAGGCTTGCATGCTCCTGGCTGACCATTCGCAAATATGGATACATCCAGTTTCTGGCGGCCTATCGACGCGCTAAGCAGCACGGAATTATATTTACAGGTTATCGTAAATCCAAGGCCAAATCGCAAAATAGACGAAGGCCCAGCAATAAAATCGAAGGCAGGACCAAACACGCGGGTTTGAACTCGCCAACGTGGTGTTCAGCCCTAATTTCATTGCTAGGATGGCTGCGTTACCGTCCACAGGAGTGGAAATCGAACCGGTCGACGGACGATCGAAATATTGGCGAGCTGTAGCCATGGTTTCGAGTTCTTCGGTCAATTCCGAGTTGGAAGATGAGAGCGACACTGGGGACTTTTTGACCTTGGGCCAAGTGGAAATGCCGACTCAACGTCGAGTTTTGAGCGAGAGCGCACTTCAAGGTTATTTGCAACGACGTATTGATCGGAGCTCTGGAGAAGTACAAATACCTACGCAGCGTCAAGTTTCTACCAATAACGGGTTACCAGAACTTCGGCAGCGCCAGCTATTACCGAGATCAAATGCAGTTTTAGTTTCAATGCAGCGCCAGGGAGGGAGTACTGAGCCACAGGAAGTACCTTCTCGTCTTGAACCTAGAGTGGTGGAAGAGCGAGTCCAGCAGGTTCTAGATTTGGATCCAGACAGACATCGTGTGAATGCGTACGGAGTTATTTACTCGTCACAAGCTGTGCGAGACACGATGGCAGCGATCGAAGTTCTGAAGCGCGGGAGATTCGATAACGCGATAATTGCTAGAACTGAAGCCAGTATAAACGCCATCGTGCAGACCTGGCTGGTAGAACTGGACAAGGCTGCGCAGCCAAGAGGATGAGAGCTTTTGCGAGTGAATTCGGTGTTTTTGTTCAATTTTTCACGACGCAATAAGGTTTAATAGTATGTAATGATGCTACAAATTCCGTCATACCACCTCGTTTTCTGGCTGGCTACGAGGTGATAACCATGTACTGTAGACGAATTCAGTTTCGACAAAGTGCCATGTCATGGATCCATGTTCTTCAAGTACCAGCGTAATAAGTCTACATCTTATGTAACGACTATCAACACTCCTGCTAGACGTGCTCACCCTATACAGTAGTGATCCCCGCAAGAAGGTAAGCTTCCACAGTCATACCACGTGTACTTCAGTAAAATCGTACGAGATTCTCGACCCTCTTTGAATGGTCCACCGCTGCAGGCCCGTCAAAAGGAAGTAAATGTCTAGTGAAGCAGTTTTTTTTTCTTTATTCGTCCAACCCCGAACTGTGTATTTTGCAAATGATATTTACAAGTTCATGCGCAGACCAGCTTCAGTGTCATACCGACAGAGTACGAATGGCTTCGCGCGAGAGGAGCTTGTACACGAGGCGTTCAGAAGTACCCTCCCCTTTGCCAGTCTTTTCCAGTAGAGACTTGATTTGGGAAAGCGAGTAGTCCTCGTTTGTCCATTGTTTCAAAATCTTCTCACCGTTCTTAACTTTTCTAACGTTTGACAAGAATACGTCGTCCAACTGCTGAGGGACTCGGAAATGCTGGAATTGGGAATCCCTAACGAGCTTGTACACGAGGCGTTCAGAGGTACCCTTCCATTTATCAGCATCCTTGAGTAGAGGCATGATATCGGCAAGCGTTAGCTCTTCTGCCCGCCATCGTTTTAGAATGTTCTGGCCGTTGGATATTTCTTTAACCTTTGCTAGCAGCGCGTCATCGTGCTGCTGAATGATTCGCTTCGCCATCTCCATGGCAGCCTCTTCAGATACCAGGAAGGGATAGTTCTTGTAGTTTCGCTCTTCGTCTTCCGTCTTGGTGCTTCTTAGGAACCTCGTGTTCTTTTGAGTGGCAGTGTCGGACGACTGCGCCATTTTCGCCGTCGAAAACTCAGTTTGCTTCTAGTGCGTGGGACCCGACGCAGCGTCGCTGCAAACAAGGAGAGTAGCAGCAGCCACGAGGAAGATAGAGCTCAGGCGCATCGCGTGTCTTAGGTGGGGTGGAAAACTTAAGCGACGGAGAGCGAATTGCGAAGTGAGGCCCAAGATCAACGGTCGAATTGCATGTGGATTCAACAACCACTTAAAGACCTAACGAGCACGACTGTAGCTCATCGCTCTTTGTTACAATACTGTACGATTGAATCTGGTGTGGATAGGCGCCTCACATTACGCATTTTACAGTTGATCCCCTCGGCACTCATAACGCTGTCAGCCTCCAATTTCTATCCATGAATTATACCACTACAATGGATCCGAGTACTCTTAGTTTGGAGCAGTGCACAACATTTACTAATGGAGACGTTTAATGTAGATCATTACTGGCGTTTCACCCTGTTTTGCTCTGCTATTGCCAGTTTTGCCTCACCACACCAAGATACCCTCCTCTCTAGCCCAGCCAGTCCGCCTCACACTCACCAACACTCAACGACTGCGGTACAAATATGTTAGCACCATGCTCACATCCTCCAATAATGCTCTCGTGCAGTTATGACTGTTCCCATAGTTAAGCACCCATAATAGAAATATTTGTCCATTTTACAACTGAGGGGTGAGAGGGAATAATATATTTGGTTTGTAAGTATTGCTGTTGAGGGAAGAATCCAAGCCTAGAGATTACTACCGAGGCGATCGTCTGTTTTCACATCGTAAAATGAATTGCAAGTTGCAATGCATTTTACAATATGAATTTGCAACCATGTGATGATTACTGACGAAGGATGGGGCTATTCTTTGGTATTCCAAAGAGGACATTTACGATGAGGTACAGCAATCATGAAATCAACAATTAGAGCAAAGGCATAGCCGAACATGACTCTAGCTCATCGCTATTTGTTACTGTGCAACCAAGTTGGGTGTGGATAGGCACCCCATGTTATTTTCGTAAAAAACATTGCAACCGTGAGATAATTACTAACGGAGGAGGTTGGGTCAATCCAAACAGGACATTTACGATGAGGTACAGTCATCGTCCCAATTTCATCACGCAAGAAAAGGAGAAAACATAGTTATCACCCCAGTTAGGAAGTTTACCGCTAGACTCCATAACGAAGGACTCTAGACTCCACAACGAAAGGAAGCAGAGCCAAATATGACCTCTGACGCGGTATCTAAAGCGGGGCTAGTGAGCATGCCTGTGGTGTACAGATCGTGTGCAAGGACTGATCGTAGCCTTATAGGTACATGTACTAATTTTCCTCATTGTTGTTGATTGATGCATGTAGAGTCAATCGGGGTTTAGGGGTAATCTCGTGTAAGCAGTGACGGCATCGCGACTTGGATAGTGTGAGCAGTGTTGGGCGAGTAACGAAGTAAGACCCGCCCGGCCGACGGTGAAGTCAACGGCACGGGGTCTCAAAGTCCGACATGACCTAAAAAGAACAATAGGAATGCAACACTGCGTCGCATTAGAGGCGATTGCTGGCCGAGTTGAATCACGCGATAACGCGAATGACTTGATCGATGACGAAAGTCTCACGATTGTATAAGCTCTGGAATGCACATAGTATTATGTTGCCTGGATTTTTTTGCAGAGCCTCTTGGGGTATCTGGCAGAACGCTCATGCAACATCGATTAATGCTACTGGACAGCGGCGCTTGAGGTTGCGTTACCTGATGTGCTCATATGTACGTAATCACGTAATCCACTCCTCCCGCAATCACGACGTTGCAATCCTTCCGTTTCTTCAAGGTTTTGGCTCAATTCACCTCAGTCTTTTAGAACACTCCACTGTCGGTTAGAAGGTGGTTCATACTTCGCAATTCGACCGGCGCCAATCACACTATCCACTTCGTCTCTCTAGCCAGACACGCAAAGCCTCTGAGTTTCTTCTTGCTCGTGTTTCTTATAGACTCTCTATTATCGTGATTTACAACGACGCTGGTTTCGGCTGCTACAGACTCGGAGGAGCCGACGGTAGTATTTCCGGACACAGTGCTGTCAGTCGACATTGCCTCTAACAAGGGTGCGAGGCTTCTAATAAGCCCCAAAACAGAAGAGGAAAAGAGGGGTTACAACGACTCCTTCCTGGAAAATGCTACTGTGGAGCAGAGGCCAGAACAAACATTTCCGATCCAATAAATAACAATGTCGTGCTGCAAGCTCTGAAATGTCGAGCATGGCATGTTTGCTGGAGCTCAAGTGTCACAGGTGAGTTGAGTTCGAAGCATATTTAGGGTATTTTATTATTTCGTCGAGTGTTCTGTTGCCACAGTGCTACCACAGCTACAGTCGACAAGAAACGTGTCAGTGGGAGTGCTTCGGAGGGATTCTCTGACTCCACGTTTAGTTTCTCTGGTAGAGCGTGTTGATACTCACAACCACGGTTAGCACGCGACAGACCAGGGCGATATCGAGATCAACGTGGTTGAAGCTAAGGCTAAATGGCTCCGGCTGTCGGCCAGTCGAACGGCGGTTTCTCAACTGCGGTGCTAGTCAGAACCGCCTCTGTCGGCAACTCCGTGCACGTCTGAATATGCTCCACAAACACCATCAGTGTCCGCAACTGACTAGTAATGCGCATCGTTCAGTTAAGCGCCTGAGTTTCATTAAACGCGAACGTGAGCAACACTCAATAGTCCATCGAACAAGGGAGAACGACAATTGGTCATTTATCATAGAGAGCTTAAGAGTTAAATACTACGCGCTAACCGATTTCTAAACGTTGTTAGCGATCGTTTCGCACGTGGATTCGGACGCTAAAATGATTCATGCAAAATGCAATACGATTTTCAGCACATTTTGTTTTTCATTTCGACTATTTGACTCGGATTTGTATTAGATGCACTTCATGCCTGTTGCGGAACACGTTTTTAAAGGAACGTGCTTGGGCAAGGTTGGCGAAGCTGCTTTGTGTGAATGTAGTGTATCACTAAGTCGTGTGTTTGCTGTGTGTCGTGGCGTGATCTGAAAGTTGCATGTGCAACCTGTTCAGGCAACATTTTTGAAACGAATTAATCTGTACAATGCTGTCTTCTAGCTGTCCTCCCTGGATAATGATCTGGCTATTAACTGAAGAGTCGAGTAGCTGTGGTAGATTTTGCCTAAAGAAATCCATTTCACCATATTAGGGGGAGTCGAACATGACCAAAAACTGAGCAGATCACGTACCAAAATCTAAGTAGCGTTTTTCCCAGAATCTAAGCAAAACTGGAATGAAGTGGGGGAGTCAGCAAAATGAGCATTGCGCTCGTATTCGCACTTTACTGAGAGACTGTCGGATGCCCGAAAGGATCCCCTTTCCGATTCCCTCCCTACAGGAATAACTAATCATACCAAGGCTAAGCGAGCGGCAATGCCTTCATCGAGACATCACCGACATGCTAGCTGTCACAATCTTGGAGGAGGAAGATAACGAGTTACTTGGAACTGCTGGAGATGACGAGAGGGACAGCGAAGCCGAACTTCTCTTTTTACAGGTCGATGACATGTCTTTTTGATTTACTTTTGCAGATTCAATCTAGGCGATACTAATCAAACAGAGAGCGAATTCCCAGCAGTACGCAATTCAACGGCGACATATTTTGGGAGTCTTACCCCCCCCCCCCCCTTCCTGGTTTCATCAGAGAACACGAATGAATAAGCAACGTTTTGATCGCATTGTCAGCGAGATCAAGGATAATCCGTTTTTTTTTTAACAATAATTCGCGATGTCCGCAAGCCCCAGTGTGGATACAGCTTGCTGCTGCGCTAGATCGCTTCGGAACTTATGGTACAGATGCATCACTAGGCCGATCGCAGGAGCTGTGGGGAATAGCCTCAAAGTTTGTTGTATCCTCCATCCATGTTACGATTATGCGGTAGTCGTCAGTTGTGAGGTGGGCGTTAGTGACGGCTTCACCACGGGGCGCTTCCTGAACTTCTTGAAGCGTGTCTCCGTCATTAAGAGATTCTTGGTGAGGAATTTCCTCACAGACTTGGGATCAGTCCGGAAGGATGATCTGTTTTCCGGCGAGGCGGTAAGTTCTGAAGACGAGAGACCTATCATTAGGAAAGTCAGAGATTTGTTGTTGGATTAAACTCACTTTTATTTTTATTCCGCGGAACGACAACGACAGGAAACTCCCTTCCTTTCTCGCAAGTTAGAGCAATGGGCTCTTCATCCGTAGCCGTTGGTGACCTTGCGTTTGTGGGGCCCGTCCATGCCTCAACGCTAGCCGAGTTCCGCTACGTGCGGGTCAATCGGATCACCGGAGACGCCGTGTGTGCCGCGGTCGTGGGGCCCGATTCCGATGAAGACGAGGAGGAGGAGATCTCAATCCCCATGGAGACGGTGGCAAGGAGGGTCGTTGACGCATCAGAGGCTAAGCTGTGGCCAGGAGCGTATGTGTCTCGACTTGTAGCCTTTGTTCAACCCGACGGTGCCAAAGTCGGCCAGTGGGCGTATGGAGTGGTTACAAGATATGACGCGCTGGTAGGCAAGTCCGTCGTAAACATTCTGTGTGGCGTCAACGTTGTTTCGGTCACGCTAACCGACCCCCACGCATTATCAAGGTTGACCCTGTGAACTACGCGCTTTAGATTGGGGCGGGCACCTCCGACATGGTGCTTAACCCGCAAGAGCTGTTGGCAACAGAACACCGTATGGGTAGCCTGCAAGAAGAGGAGAGGTGCTCTACCATCCAAGGTTCAGTCAATGCTGACGGTCCCATTTCAACCCGACGACGTTGTCGCTTTGGTCCGACCTCACGATCTTCAGGTGGTCTATGTCCGACGTCAACACATTTTGGATGTGGCCATGGGGTCGCCAAAGAAAAATCGTTCGGATTTGTATCGTGACCCGAAGACACCAGCTAACCCGTCGACTCCATCAAGCGACACCTCACCGACGAGTGACAGGGAATTCGCTGAGGATGTTCGTCTCCAGACAGATATTGACAGTATCAGACAGCAGAACCGAGGGCTGGGCAAGAGGCAACGCGAAAGTTTCGCTGGCGACCTCGACGAGTTCGCCATGGCAGACGAAGTCAGCGACGACGACGACGACTACCGCCGAGTACGACCCCAAGTGGCGTTTCGGCCATCCGCTACTCAACATCGTGTCCATCTATCGGTCATCAACCAACGGTACAAAGGTAAGAATGCTCAGGTTATTTTAGAAATGATGCAGCACTCGGACCACGTGCTCTTCCTCGGACAACCGCCAGTCCTCCGCGGCGCCTTTGACTTCGGATTCAATGGCGTCGTATCAGTGATGCATTTCCGGGAGGCAGGACTACTCGACAGGGTACGTGCAATGGAGTCGTCTGCAAGTTCGACGGACTTCTCAGAAAGAAACGTGCTTCGGCCGGTCGCAGCGGCGTCAAGCAGGGGTGAACTCGTCAACGCGCTGCGCTCGCGTCACATATTCGGCTCTCAGTTCTACAATCAGTTGGTTGTCGACCTGCTTGATACTGCAACTATGTTCGTCGATCGTTACCGTGGCCTCCGCGAGACGGACGCGTTTGGATGGAAACTAACGACCTACTGGGTGACCAAGAAGTTTCGCAAGTTCCGCAGCCATCTCGTAGCACGTGACACCAACGCCGCAGCAGCTGTGCGCTTTGAATTTTCCCGGACGGACGAGGAGCTGATGGAGGTGAAGGACATTCGGAGTCAACACCTCCATAATGAGGCCGCCGCATCGAGAACTCGACAAGGAGCGGACACAATTAAACAGGCAGATCGTCCTCGTCGAATTTCCAGTATTCCCACACCAGTACTGGAAGCACTTCCGGTCAAAGATGGCAAAAAAAAAACTCTACATGAAGGCCATATCGAAGGAAGGCTGCGCGGGCAATGGTAACGGCGGCTGCTTTGATCCTAAGCGGTCTCACTTCAAACCAGACCAGTTGCCAGAGATCGTTAAGGCATATATCGACGACAACTACAAAGGTCTCGCACCAACGGACCAGGACAGTTGATGGCGAGGGCAAGCGGGACCACCAGAATCCAGCGTGACATCTCCTACCAAGCCGCGTGTAGGAACGGTGCCGCTGGCCAACACCATGCGAGTCCTCCAGTCGCTCTTCGAGCGTTCATAACGAGATGTTCTTCGACACGTGGAAATGTATGCTGGTCGGTACAACCTCACGGTGCCTCTAACCAACACGGACCCTACTTCAATTGATGCAGCCACAGCGACTTTCTTATCTGAGCTTGCACGACGGTCACGCCTAAACTTACCAAGTTTCGTTCGGCTGGTTCGTGGACAAAACGCTCACGATCCGCGCCCTAATAAGACCCTGTACGAACTTGCTGAGCCAGCCGACCCCACCTATCACGACGCTTACAGGCGTTGGAATGCCATTGTCCGAGGTGGGGTGCAACCACTATGGACATCGACACGACCCTCAAGGCAGCCTAGACGCCAGAACAACCATCGAATCGACACTAACACCATCGAGAAGGTCCGGCGACACATCGCAAAAGGCCAAACGGAGGGCCGATATCTCATTCTGGACGAAGCCATGCTGGAAACATGGCCTGAGGTTTTCATTAGTCCGATCGGCACAGTCGGCAAAGGTGAAGAAGGCATCCGTGTCACCAATGACTACGCTTATCCGCGAGGATCGTCCGTGAACGACTTCACTGACAGAGATAACTTTCCACGGATCAGCTACAACCCGCCTCGCGACATAGCGCGACGCATTCATGACCTACGAACCAAGCATCCTCCCGTTGACGTACTGCTCCTGCTCGGAGACGTCTCCGGTGCTTTTCGGCACGTACCGATGAACGAAAACAGCGTACACATGTTCGCTTTCCTGTTTGAAGACTACGTGGTCTTTGATCTATCGTGTGGATTTGGGTGGTGTGGTTCACCAGCATTTTACGCTCTGGCAGGGTCTGTCATTAATCACTTGTACGAGTCCTCGAGACCTGAGGGTGGAGCTCCTCTGGACAGGGAACCGTTTATAGGCAACGTTTGGTGTGATGATCATACATGTGTGGAAAAAAATGTCGGCACGCGCTGCAAGGATGCTGAAGTAGCCCTGTGGAGATCAATGGTAACTGTACTTGGGCCGAATGCTATCAATGAAGAGAAATTTACCTCGTGGCAGACAACTGGCAAAGCGCTCGGTCTTTTGAGGGATACCGTCAATGGTACTGTATCGATACCGACTGAGAAGCTGCTGAAGGCGCAGCTCCACGTTCACACGCTGCTTCAGACAGGTTACGCTTCCAAATCCGATCTCAACAAGCTCCTCGGGAATCTACGCCAGGGTTTAGCTGCGTGCTTTCCGGCTGCTCGTTCCTTCTATCAACGACTCCATGCATCCGCTGTCGGTATGCACCCTGGAAGCAAACGCCAATTAAATGAAGACGACCGCGACGACCTGTTCTGGTTTCGTGCGGTACTTTTGAATGGGGACCGGTTCAACAAGATCCCTGTCGTTCAGTTCGCCGGTATTGCAACACCAACCGTGCACATCTTCATGGACGCGTCGGACACCGGGTTGTGTGCTCTAGAACCCACGAGACTTGAGTACATTCGGGTGAAATTCACTGACGCTCAGAAGCTTGACCTGCGTAAGGAGCCTCGTGTCAATTCGATCAACGTACGAGAACTTCAGAGTGCCGTATTGGCTGCTCTTTACTGGGGTCAATATTGGAAACAGGATGCAGAACTTGACCCGACGTACGTCTGCTTCCACATCGACAACTCAAGTGCGGTGGCGTGGGCTAACCGTCGAAGTGCCAGAAACCCCGCTGCCCAGCTCTTTAACAGACTGCTGTCTCTGGCTGAACTACAATACCGTGTCGTTTTCACGGCGGAACATGTCCCCGGAATCGATAACATCATGGCTGACGCCGGGTCACGTGCATGGTCCAGTACTGATAAACTTTGGTCGTTATGGACTAACTAATCTGCTGCATGGACCCACGTGAAAGTCTGTCATCCATTCGACGATCTCTCAACCGTGTGGGCGCTATGCTGTGCCGACAAGCCCTGGCAGGCACTACCAACTCCAAGTATCAAGCAATCTGGAAGAGCGGACCAAGTTTTCGCGCATGATGGGATGGCCGCCGTGGATTGGGAACCCAGGAGCTGATCGTACTAACCGTCTGGGTTATTTCGCGGTGTATCTGTGGACGTATGGGTGGAACCGAGCTCGACGAGGCAACCAGTACGCGACTATCGTGCCCAAGCTCGCGAGCGTGTCGTGGTTTCACCGGCGGTTCCAAGGTATCGAGATCACCAGGTCACCACAGCTGCGTATCCTGCTTCAAGGTATCAAGCGTTTATCCGACCCGGTGCGTAAGAAACAACCCGTCACACCCTCTTTTCTACGCCTTCTACGTCGATCACTGAATTTGGATCGCCCCCGACAGCGTCTCCTGTGGGGCAGTGTGCTCCTTGGCTATTTCTTCCTTTTACGGCACTCAGAATTTCTGATAGTGGAGGGTCATCGACCATTTTACAGCCTGAAGACCAAGAACGCCATGTTCACAGACAGCAACGGACAAGCGGTGAGTGTCGGTGCGGCGACGGCTGTGACTATCGGATTGGAAGGGTCAAAGAATGACCAATAAGGGGGGGGGGGCATGGCGCACAATGCATAGCTCGGGCGACAAGCTGCTCTGTCCAGTCGAAGCACTACGACACATCCTGACGGCTCGACGAGGGATCAACAAAATGAACAACGAGTATCTGTGTCTGGATCTGGATTCGAAGACAGTGTCCAAGGCCCTCAAGGCGACGGCAGAGAAGGCAGGAGTTCCGGCTTCTAACTACGCTACGCACTCACTACGTATTGGGGGTGCCGCTGCACTATTGAACGGCATAGTGGACAGCCTGGTGATAAAGATATTGGGGCGGTGGGTACCGCGATGTTACGAAGAGTACCCTAGACAAGCTGCCGCTGCCACCACTGGTCTCACCAAACGCATGGTGTAGTTCCTCCCGCCGTGAAGTGCCGACCAATCTCCGTCCGTGCAGAGGCACATTTTGTGGGGCTGCCTCACCACGCCCTCCGGATTGACCGGTAATACACATTTTCGCCCCCATTCACTTCAAGCTGGACGCACGAGGATAGTCCATGTTCCAAGGTTAAACTGAAAGTGAAGGGAAGTATGTAGTATCGACGGTGAAGAAGTGCGAGGGAACTAGAAATATAGACGAGTCTGGAAACAAGCAGCCCATTTCCGAAACCAGCCACCTCCGGAGGTGGCTTATCCAAAAACTAAGCAGCCCATTTCCCAAAACGTAAGCATCACCATTCCCAAAATCTCAGCACCGCTTTTGTAAGTTCCCCCTATTATAAGGAAATTCACAAACACTAATTTAAAAATACACCCAACGATCACTGTAGCGCCCGACGCTAAATTAAGTCGGACTGAAGAAAGCGACGTGTTGTTCCATTTTCGCTTCTGTTTGATATATGAGCTCAATGACAGACTGGGCTACTGAGTACAAGAATCGGGAAGGTGGTCGAAAACCTCGACGATGGAAAGCTCTATTTCATCCCTCGGTACTTACAGCCTGTCTAGCTATCGCAGGCCGCATCATCATAGGTCCTATCGCGCTTTTACTGCTATTCACGGCTACAAACTACTTTTCTGGCAGCTCCGTTCTCATCAAGGCCGACAAAAGCTTCTTCGCGTTCACGGAAAATGACATGACTATGGCTGGCGGGTGCACAGGTTGTATGGGTCCGTGCAAAATAGTGTTACTCAAGTACTCTCTGTTCAACGGAAGTGCGTTCGTGAGCTCTCCAGTGTTCAACGCCTTTGTCGCCCTCGGACCAACAGAAGATCTGTACGACTTCAGTTCATTAAATCCCGAGGCTCTCACACTTGGACAATCTCTCGATGACAACGGCGGCATCTGTCAAAGCGGTACAAACGACTGGGGCGCTACGCACAACGTCGTCACGGGGACAGCTCAGCAAATACTGGACGTTATCAATACACTCGGTCTCAGTGTCGCACCACAGATGGTACGTGAGCTCGAACTCTCCGTCGGTCGTACAGATGGGTGTGATACAAGATGGAGCATGCTCTCGCTTACACGTCTTTTCCAGTTCCCAACGAGAGCTGGAGACCGGAATTTTGGCAAGCTTTCGGCTGTTGATATCAGTATCTTCCCTGATTATACGGAATGCCGTCCTGTGGTCATGGTAGATGACAGTCTTGTAGGTTCCAAGCTTGCGTTGGTGACAAATGGAGAAGATCTCGTAAGTGTAGTCCCCGATAGCTTGACGTTGTTCCCGTACAGCTTCACAAGCAGCCTGCCTCACGTCTCACGCGCTGTCCCTGCCAGCAATACCAAGTACCCAGCAACTAGCGTTGTCCAGCCTCTACTTCGAGCCTACTTTGGTGGTTGTAGAGTTCGTGCAGTTAACACAACTGGTATTTACATCGAAGATACATGCGAGGTGTCGAATCATTGGGAATCATATGGGTTAATGGTCCACTCTCCAGACGATATCCCTCTGTGCAGCACCGGTGATGTTTGCATTCATAACTACTTTAACTCACTCTGGGAATGGGTGAACTACATCCCGGAAGATCGACCGGATCGCAACGGTATGAACGTGAATTCGTTCCGCAGCCGCTACGCTGATACCGTCGCTATCAACTTGTTACCAGGTCTGGTCGTGGGTCAGATACTGCTCATGGGGGTCGTCAGTCTGTACCAAGTGATGTCACACAAACGTTCAGTCCTACTCACTCAAATTTGGGCTTATCGTTGTCAGAACGGAAGGATGCAAGTCGTTTATCTGGGTCAGATCATTTACCACCTTGTATTTTACTCGGATTTGTATATGCTCGGACTGGCAACGGGAACTCTGACTGGAGAGTCGTTAGCAAACCTGACATGTTGCTTTTTCGCGTTTTCCTACTCGTTTATCAACTTACTGAAGGCGCGCTCGGGCGATCAACAACTTGATCGGCACTTTCGACTGACGTGGGAAGCCATGCAGCTGGTGACTACGATGATTATTGGCTTTATTCTGCTGTCAATACAGAGGACGCCACTGGCATCAATTATCACCAAGAACTCTGAGATCTTACGCAAAACTTCAGCGCGAGGAGCGAAATACTGCGGTCTGAACGATTCTTGTATCTTATTTACAGTTGATATGCTTTCCGTCATTGCCGTACTATCGTTGGCGCTGGGTGTCATAGCTGTGATTATATCTTTCATCATCACGAACATGACACCAAAGGCAAAAATTATTGTGTACTCGGCAACGGAGGTTCATAGTTTACAGGCTAACGAGTTCAAGGAAATCGAGATTAAAAAGCATGGGGACTTAGCTCCACTCGACAATCTTACGTCTTTCGAACGGAATTGTATTGGTGGACCATTCAAGAAGATCTTTCGAGACTGCGACGATATCGCCTATATCTCATACAATGGCAAACGTTGTATGACAGTCGAAGCATTACTTCTCACGGGGTACCTCTACTACGGTGAGCACGTCTACCAGGCATCTTCAGTTATGCTGTTACTTGTGGCTCGTCTTGTGCCACGTAAAGTGCTACGCACCTTCAACATGCTGTTACTGCGATGGTACGTGGATCCAAAACACGGAACACTGTCGGAGCTGCGCTCATGTACATGGTATCATGCATGCGCAGAAAATCACCAAACAGGCGGGGCTGTGCCCCTGGCATAGACTACCAATTTGGGGGTGCGCTTTTTTACTTCATAAATAGTTACGAAATGCGTTCCATTTCTCCAAACCATCACTAGTCCCAGCCTTTCAGGTTATTCCAGCATTATCACTTTCTTCTTCATTCCAAAATCTGGTGAAGCGTGCCCTGTTCTGCACACTGTTGGTTTGCCGGACAGCGCGTTTAAAGTTGATATCGATATGCATGCATACATACAGCATGTACAAAGCTCACTCACGCATCATCCTGCCTATTACAGTAAGGTGATCACATTTGCATTAACCTAGCCAGACTGTTCTACAACCGTACGTATGTACAACACTCTTCGATTGTAGGTTGACGTACGTAAAGACATCGTAATAGCAACTCTTACTGACGAGGTCAAAGTACAGTAATTTGCCTCAAAAAGCGAGGTCATATAATTTTATAACCCTTAAGAAATGTCTGCGTATCACTTTCTATTCATGTTTTCGTTGTGAAGTACACCTCTATCACGCAATTCACTTGAGAATTATATACCATACTGGACCTCGCTTATGAGGCATATTTCTGTACATCAAGTCAAGGGCTGACGTACGTAAAGGTATCGTAATCTCAGCCGTAGTGACCAGACTAGAGTAAAAGGTTGACGTACGCAAAGGCATCGTAATCCCAACACCTAGTGACGACATCAGAGCACAGTAAAAGTAAACTGGCAGCGGAGATACAGCAAAATAAGCGATACCCCCCTCCCCCAACTACTAACAGGAAGGGATGGCTGTCATATTTTTTTTCTGACTCACTGTGCCAGTAGTGCATCATCTCGTATCCAGTCGCGTCAACCGTATTGTGATGGTTCTGTGGTATTGAACCTGTAATGAAAAATTCCAAAGTGCACAGTTTCGCAAAAAAAAGAAAACTTGTATTTATTTATAGAGTACACTATGAGCACATCCCAAAAATCATTCCCAGTTGGTAGTATATTGTTGAGGCCAGTTGGTGACTATGCCGTGGACGGTGGAGCGTGTGAATCACGCAATGGTATAGTGTCAGAAAGCAGTTTGTCATAACCAAAGCGATCAATCGGCGCGAAAGCGACCAATCCGCTCGATGGTCATGCAGCCACTCACCGCAATTCCGACAGAAGCCACACTTTACGAGGAGGCTGCGGGTTTGTTTGACACTTACTCGCCGTTCGATTCGATTCAAGCTCCCAAAACCAGTAACTTATCAAATGCCGAACCGCTCACATTCGTCGCAACGGCCCGCGCAGTCATTGGTGAGAAGGACACCAACACCAGCCAGTCTGACGCTGATGCAATCAAGCTTCTACAAGAGAAAAAGATGCGCCAACGTCAGCAACAGCGACAGCGACGCAAGGATATACGTGATAGTCTGCAACGAGAAGAACAGGAGTTAACCTTACAGTTGCAAACACTGAAGCAAGCAATCGTGAGCAATGCTGGGACCGATCGCGCTAGTGTCCAGCTTGCCAACTACTACTGGAGAGAAAGTGCGGCTAAGCAGCAGGAAGAGCGACTCGCAGCGGAGGCTGAGCAGAAGCGTCTCACAGCTGCAACGAAAGTTCAAGCTACGTACATCGACAGGATGATAAAGCTGTTGCAGAGGAAGACAGCCAAGGAACAATGGGTATCTGGAATTCGAGATTGCAAGCGCTTCCAGATAGAAATGTCAGATGATGCGGTGTTTACGACGCTTCTCAAGGAGGTTGACGACAACTACAAGTGCGTTAATGAACTGTTACGCGGGTGTCGTGTTGATAGTTTGCCTTTAGGAAACACGAACTCTGTTCACCGAAATCAGGCGAACGGCGAGATAGAGTATCTCCTCCACGTTCATAAAGGGATGCAGCCGTTTAACTACGAGTGCACATGCAACTCTGCTTGGGTGGCAGCTGGTCATCTGCATCGACAGCTAGATCGCGAAGTTTATCAAGGTGCGTTGGGCATGGAGAATACGATCGCTGTCAAATTTCGCCTTGAGCGAACATTGACGACGGGTGTGAAGGTATCAATGAAGCAGTGGCTCGTTAATCGACGGTATTTCGAGGAAGGCCGAGTGATCAATACCTGGAAAATCTACTCAGAAGGCGAAGGGATTTTACGCGGAATGCATTCGGACGAGACAGGCTGGATTGTATTGCGGCCAACGTTGGACGGATTCGGAACGTGGACGGATGCGATCGTCCGACAAGCTCCTGTGCTCTTCGGCACCATCGTCACTAGTGACTGGATTGACGATGAGCTTCGACAAATGCTGCAGGATAAAGTTGTCGAGGACGGCAGGGCACTCATCGGTACCGTCGAAAATTTACTGCTCGAAGACACACTCGCCATTCTGAGCGACTAGGATGCTGCATACTCCTGATATATATTCTGACCGCGGCTGGAACTGGAGAAACCGTGTCAGAATGGGCAGCTTTGTGTATTATTTGTTCTGCAGCACTACCAAACACATCATTTCAAATGCTGAACTAGTTTATACAGCGCATGTCTACGTTCTCCCTGCTGTATCAGGTAGAGTTCGTACTCGGAAGTACTGCTACTTCGGCTCAAGCAAAACCGTGCCTTGCGGTGGTAGTTCTACGATCGCACGAACCTTTACAGTAACCTGGAGCTGCAGACCTTAGCTTTTATACTTTTTGTGGGTTGTTTGATAACTTCGCGTTCGTTCAATAGAAACACAGCAATATCTGGGTGGATCCGTCGTTTAACGTTATTTATTGCGCAGTATGCTATAGGTAAGCCGGGGCAGCGACCAGAAATAACACGATAGTCGTTTAAAGAGTGGGAATGTTGACTCGACTATTCAGCAAGATCCATGGCATGTATCACACTCTCTTGACTCAGGTTGTCACCATTACTGATCCATGATATCTACTACGTACACTCCTATAGCTCATCATTATTAATCCTTCGTCGGATGGTATATCTTGTAGAAATCTCATTGAAACAGAACAACTATATGGCTAAAGAAAACACAGCGTTTGTAGGTCACACTGTTACGTTGCCGAATCACCTTCATATCAGAGAAACGTTCACTAATGCTCATATCGTTAATCCGATTGGTGATCCTATAGAGTCCACATCAGCCTACCTCATGCGATTCCAACCAACCTGAAAGATTGTTCCTTTCACATGTGTTAATGTATCTAGTGTCCTAAGCGAATGCGAGATCAATGCAGGTAATGGTACTAACAAGAGTTTAACTACCATGACTATTCGCCACAAGTCGAAACCCATTGTTAACGTACCGGAGTAGGACTTTCGTTTTGCCAAACCATGTAACAACAGAGTTGTCGGTTCCCTAAATATTTATTACGTACTTCAGGAAGGGCAATCTTAATGTTCGTGCTACGAATATGTATCGCGAACAATGCGGATTACGGTTGGATTATGAATGAACCCGAGCTCATAAAAGAGCGACCCTTTTGTTCGTTATCCGCGATTGGATGACGAACGAGGACTGCACCTGTTCAATATGGATTGTTTTAAAAACCATGAACAAACACAACTTGGACGTATAACGCAGCATTTACGCTCAAGTACACCAAAGCGTTTCCAGCAGTGGAACAACATGTTGTTGTTGATATGAAGGAGCTGAGCAACAGTCTCAACATAGCGCGCAGTATTGCTCTTATTGGTTTTACATTTTTTTTTAATAATCCTGTCATGTGATTAGTTACACATTTATCGCAATGATGCACAATCACGTTTTGAACGAGATGAACAGACTAAATGTACGTAATAACTTGGCATGAAGCACTGGTTAGTGTTGTGCCAATCCTAGAAGTACAACTCCGCATTGTTTCGATCATTATTGTCGCCAGTTTTCAATTTGCCTTCAACCAGAACCCCCAATCATGCCGAACTCCAAGAAAACGGTTCTCATCACCGGCAGCACACGCGGTATCGGTCTTGCGCTTGCAACCCACTACACCAACGCAGGCTGGACCGTCATCGGAACAGCGCGTGCTAACAGCAACACCGACAACGTGAGCTCTGTACAGTGCTTGCCAGCTGTTGATCTCAATTTACTTACATCACGAAATTTTCCAACAGCTCGCTGCGCTGTCGCCCTTCAAGATCATCGTGATGGACACAACCGACGAAGCCTCGGTAATCAAAGCAGCTCGTCAACTTAGCGGCGTCGCCATCGATCTCCTCATCAACAACGCTGGCACTGGCTGGCTCACCCAGATCGTGGAGCCGACCAAGGACATGTTCATGAAGTTGTTCGAAGTGAATGCTGTGGGTGCGTTCCTCGTCTCGCGCGAGCTGCAGTCCAACCTCCAACTTGCAGCCACGATTCACGGCAGTGCCTCTATCGCTCAAATATCGTCGATTTCTGGCAGCCTCACTCACAACAGTGATGGCAAATTCGCCGGTGCCTTCAAGGGCCAATGCAGCTACAGTACATCGAAAGCGGCTCTAAATATGATGACACGCTCGTTGGCCATGAACCTGCGTGCCAGCAACGTCATCGCTGTCGCTGTTCATCCGGGTTATGTTGGCACCGATCTCACGGGGAACACTGCACCTCTGAAACCCGCTGATGCTGCGGCATCTATTGCCAACGTCGTTGCTGACTTGTCCATCGAGGATACTGGTAAGTTTTTAAATGCAGACCCCACGCTCTCCATCACGGAGCTTCCGTGGTAGAGGATAACGGTAGCCTACCTAAAAAGGTGCAGTTTTTCTCGGAAAGAGAGTTCGATGGTACTTCCATTTGTGCTTTTGCTGCAGCATTTTAATGTACTGAAGGAGGCTAAACTAAAAAAATAAAGCTCGGGTGAAATCAAATTATGCGTGCAGTGCGTGAAAAATAGGAAACGTGAGAAAAATGAATCAAATCCAAGGCCCTAAAACCTCATTTTTCAGATAACTTAAATATATTTTCGGGAGGTCGGGCTTTTAACCCTTCTGTGGTAGTTACACTATTTTATTTTTCTGCGCAAGAACCTCGCTAATTAAACAGCAATTTAAAATGAGAGAGTTCCGGTTCCATTGTCCAAGCTTTATTAACCAATATTTGTTAAGGCAACTACTTAAATAATTACCACAAAAGCAAAGCATAGACCTGATATTATGTAGTCTGCGCTTTGCAATGTTTTATATTATAAACAATATTACCTACCCGACCTCTCAGATACTACTGAACTAGGCTTTGAGCAACTACGACAGCCAGTATTGGCAACCTGCGGTTTTCACAAGGAGCACGCTTTATTTTTAAGCTAATGCTACGTCAATGATGAAGTGGATCATTCACCAGTTAGACGACAAACTGTGTCACAAGAGCAGAAACCTGTAACAAGCGCAAACGCAGTATTTCACGAATTTCACCAATAGCTGTATTGGAACAGCTCCAATTCTACTTAGTTGTTGGAATTTAACCGAAGAAAAAAATATAATTACTAAACGTATAACAGCTTTGTTACATGGATATTGTAAGACTCCAGATGTCAGTACAGGCACGTCGTATCGTTGTCTCTTCATAGCGTTTTGGAGCGTTTCTTTAACGGCACTTTTAGTAAAAGTGGCTATGTTGGTTGGCGTAGCTGTTTACGACGAGGTTACACTCAGGATTTATACGCGCGTGACGGAATACCAGGGAAACATCCTCCAAGTTACCCAGCAGTCGTAGCAACGGCGACAACATATCCGCTTTTGTGATCAGACTCGTCACGCAGTTGTTTGTGGTATCCCAGGTGAAACGCACCGAGCCATCCAAGACAAGACGTTGGCCCACTAGACTGTCAGCAATACGACACCACTTGCTCGCATTGTTGTGGTTAAAACACTGGTCCACAAGGCGAGGAAACAAGCTGCTCAGTGTGCTTCTAGTGATGGTAATACTCGTCGTACAGTAGGCGACAAGCGAATTTTCCGAGATCTGGTCCAAACGTCCTAATCGGATCTGGATGTGTCGAAAGCTGCGCGTGAAGTAAACCCAGTTTCTCGCCAGTGCATTCGGCCCAAACACCGTTCCAGCGTCCAAGTCCGGTGCCATCGTAGCTCTCAGGAAATCGAGTGTGGTAGTACACGCTCCTCCTGCAGTGTCTAGTCCCAATCGGAACACACTGAAGTATTCCACAGCAACAGCCCAAACAGAGTCCCTTCGTGTGATGTCGAGCATAAGAGTTTCACGTTTCCAACGTAACTCCACAATCTCCTGTTGAAGTTCAGAATTGTAGGCCTCTTGATCAGTGATCAACCGGTGTTGTTTTGCTCTGTAGCGCGCTTGGTTCTTGCGGCGGCGTTCTCGATGATACGCCGCTATGTTTGCTTTTATTTCGTCTGGAAACGGAAGTTTTCTCGTGTCTGGTTGCTGGGACATCGGACCCAATGAGCTAGAAGTGTCACTTGCAAATTCAGAGAAGGTCTTTCCTGAGATCGTTGCACTCTTGGTGCAAAATCCGTGCGCAGTGACGTCGCCGTTCTGATTTAATGAGATATCTTGCGCTATCGTTGGGTGGGTATTGGTGGAGAGGTATGGAGAAATTTGTGAGCGCTGCATTACGTCCCCAATACCATTTTCACTGAGTTTGTGCAGGTTTGGCTGAGCGAAGGCGCGAGTTTTCATGTTTCGTCGAGAGGAAATTACGTACTGGCTTGGCTGGGGAATAATTTTGTTGTCGCCGTAATCATTCTGTTCGTCATTAAAAGAAAATTAAAAGAGAGATTACTCACTGTAATGAAGCATCAACAGGAATGATTTTTAAAATAGAAATCTCAATACACGAGTAGTACAGTAGCCTCATTCATGATGTAGCGATACTGCTAGACAATGTATCAGAATTTACCGTTCGAAAGAAATCACGGTAGGGTAAGAATCTACTAGTTATAAATCTAAGCAATTTGATGTCGGTGTACTAAATTCATGGACTATGGACCCTAATTAGAGTGCTTATCGTCAAATTGTTTCCAGATATTGAATTAACTCTGCAATATCCCGTATCAGACAAATGCTAATTGGATGAGTCTTCAAAGATTCGTAAAAAAAAAACCTTTTGGTGTCGCTCGACGTCTCTCTATGAAGTAACAATTTGACTTTATCTGCTTTGACCATAATGCATGTTCTACTCCTTGTCCGTGGCCACTCAAAATCACTGCAGCTTGGCATGCAAGCGTTTTCTATAGTGACCACTACGATTACGTTGCGTACGTGGACCTTGAAGCTCTCAGCCTTTCCGATCTAAAATAGTTTTATAATTGAAATTGTAAATAAGAAATCTCTAGAATATTTGATAAACAGACCAGGTACTAATACATATAACATATGTATTAGTACCTAGTCTGTTTATCAAATAATTTGGAGATTTCTTACTTTGTTTTCCAATAATACAATACTTGTATCTCGAGAGTAGTAAAATAAGGGTAAAAACTGTGAACATGATGAGGGCGATCCTGATGCTGACACAATTTCAGTACAACTTGAGATTTTACTAAATAAACGAGATAATTCTAATTCTACCCAGAGCCAAGTAGACTGCTAAACGAAGCAAGGCCGAGTACTGGGATCGGAACTCCATACGTTGGCCCTTTCCCTTATCTAGCTGATATGTAAATAATATATTTTAAGCATAGATCAGCACTGCATAGTTTTGTGCCGAGCCCTTCCACGTCAGCACCAACTTGTTTTAGCGCTGATAGAAAAAAAATGTTCTACTGTATTGATAATAATTGTTTTCAACACGCCTGCGTAATGTTTATGCACGGTCTACGTAGAGGGACAGATACCACCTAGTTCATAATCCAATCTCATATTGCGAACACAAGGATTGCTCGCTTACGACTTCGGATTCGTTCGTAATCCAACCGTAATTCATGTTGTATGTGATACAGCACCGTATCATGAACGTTTAGATGATCAAAAAGCCCAACGTGAAGTATGTTACCAATTCAGCATATAGATAGCCGACAGCTCTGGTATGGCATGGTAGACTAAAACAATAACTATACACTGGTAGTGTTTACGACAGGTCTGTCAAAATGTGACGAATAATATCGGCAGTTATCCTCTCATTAGTACGATTACCTTCAAGTGATATTTGCTTCTCTCTCATTCGTTAGGACAATACGCTGGCACGCTTAAAAAGGCTATCTTTAATCACCACTTGGAGTAGTCCTATGTTGGTGGATGAATTTCCTATGAGATGAAGGTGATCGAGCACCGCAACATTTATTTTAGCCTACCACCACCCCTGATGTTTCCTTGGTCATATAGTTATTCTGCATCGATGGGTTTTGTTACAGGATGTACCTTCCTAGAGAAGAAAAGTAAATGATATTTTTTGCTGTAGATGTCACGGATCAATATTGGTATCAAAGCAGAGTCTGAAGAGCATGATACATTTCATGGACCATTCTAAATAGCTGAGCAAACATGTGCAACTATTTACACACTGATCATTTTGTCTTTACCTTATTTTTATTGTAGTCAAATAAGTAACATTAAATAATGGATCCCTGGGTATGTTGCTAAATTTTAATATAATAATTGTGAAGCCGTCGCAAAACCAAACCACGAAGACATTAAAAAAAAATGCTGTTATTACCATTGTTGTGGTCACACTTCGTTGTCTACTTCGTTGTCGGACTACCGCACGGCACACGTCAAATGCGTGTTCGGCGTGTGCTGCAGGAAGTGATAGGAATGGTGCGATCTCATTGACAGATCATTTGGTATCCGGGGTTATGATTGGACGACAGCTTCAATTTGGCCTATCACAGGATCTGCAGCAAGTGAGCAATCGTGATATCTGGCATTATTGCATGAGTTTAATGCAACCAGAAAAATGGTCGTGCATCCGAAAAAATGTCCTACAACTACCTCCTTCAAAATGTCCTTCAAACACTGAAAGTGTCCTACAAGATGTCCTAATTTAGGTGCGTTCACCATTTTTAAGTGAATTAATTATATAGAATAGTACCAATACAATAAAAAAAGTGACCAGCCGTGCTTCGCTTGGCTGGGCGCGCCCCCGCAGTTCGCTTCGCTCGCGATATAAAGATAGGATATACTGGAGTGTGCAGCGCGCGGCTCGCTGGTGAGCTCGGCGCTGGGCACGCCTGCGCAAATACCACGCGGCCCTGCTTCGCGGGCTCTCCGCGCGGGCTTGCTGCGGCTACGCGCCTCACACCCGCTCGCCTTAGTTGGTCTGGAGCGCTGTCGTGCTCACCTAGACATTAAAAATTGGGTAGTGTATCCTTAATACACCCGAAAAAATGTCCTGCAACTCATGAACTGGTCCTACAAATAGTCCTAAATTGCAGGACATTTTTTCGGATGCAGGACCGTTTTTCTGGTTGCATTCATTTCTCCCGGCATTATTGCTGTACCAATCGTGTCCTTCCCACTCAAGCGTGTCCGTCCGAGTATACTATTTGTATACATGGACATGCAATAGTATGAGAGCACTAGGAGCTGCACGGATAGGAACTAGGATTTCTAACTAAATCAATCTAACTTTCAAAGTTCCATTCATCTGCACACATCGACTGCAAGCTTCGTTCGCATACTGAATTGGTTATGAGCCCAAGCTATGCTGACACCACCGACAAGCTCGCGGAAGACGTATACTTCTACTTGGATTTTAACATGCGGATGAAGCTCGCTCGCAAGGGTCTGCTCCCGCAGGTCACC